AAGACTTGCAAAGAAATTGTTAAGATTACCTGAAGATTGTTCTCTTTAATGTGAGCCCAAATCTGCTTGAGAGCTTGGGTGCGAGAAATCTCAGGTACTCCAACAAGAGCCTGCATCTCCGGTGAGACACGACGGGGCCGCATGATACCACGTGGCTGGCGAGTCCCGGTGGAAGAATTGGAAGCCGTGGCCTGGATTACAGTGCGCACCAAACGCACGTTCGCAGGGGGAGTAGCAGTAGAGGGAAGAGGCCGGCGAGAGGAAAACTCCGGCGTTTTGGAAGTGATAACGGTGGAGAAAATGCCCGACGAAAGCGCCATTTTTCCTGACTCACGGGAGGAAGAGGGAAGAGGGAAGAGGGAAGAGGGAAGAGGGAAGAGGAACAGGTTTTCCTTATCCTTTTGCCGCTGTTTTGGGCATTTAGAGCTTACCGAGAAAATGGTCCTATTTTTATTTATATATTTACAGAAAATGGGAACTTAGCCAGATAATGGACTATGAATTTAAAAAGGAAAATTATATAATTATAATATTACATGTAATATTATAAATTTATAATATAATATATTATTACATAATTTAATTTTTATTTAAAATATATTTATAATATTATATATTTATTTATTAAATGATACATAATATTTATTTAATGAAATATTATAATTATAAATTTATTATTATATATAACATTAAAACTATAATATTATTATTTTAAAAATATGGCAAGCACTTCAATCATTCAATGCACGTAGGATTACATAATTTAAATTATTAAATTAAGTACAACACTTAATATTACCTTATAATAGTTTTTGTTTTGTACTTAGATACTTATCGAATGATAAAACAAGTAAATTTATATGTATGATTTTTATATTTGGTCCTATTATTATTTATTTAATTTTATATTCAATCTTATTTTGGTCATCTAACTTTGACACCTGACAATTAACTCCCTAAACTAGTGAACACCCTAAAAACATTTATATTTTAAATTATTTTTAATTAAATGAATAGAAATTAGAAAAAAAATAATAATAATCAGCATTCTGATTGAAGCACAAGGGCTCTCGCAAACTAAAAGTTGCAACCATAACTCATAGGTAAATGCCACTCTATGCATATTTAATGCAAACAATTCTGCCATTGATTAGCTTACCAAAAACAGTTTACGCAAAGGGCCATCCCAAGGATTGATTCCATTCCCGTTGGCTCTTGCTAGACCTAGCAAACAAGTCACGAATCAGATGGAACTAGATTGAATAAACTTGGATTCTAAGTTTATCATACTAGATTATTTTAGATTTTGAGATAAAAGAAGATAAATCCATCTACACAAGTTTTGGATTGAGTTGGATAGACTTAATTTTTTTAAAATAATGTTTATTTTAATATTTTTTTAATAAAAATTTATTAAAAAAATATTCTTAATTTATATTATAAGGACACATATTAAAATTTTTTTATTAATAACAATAACATATAATTCAGTTTCTTTAAATGAAAAAATAATATTAAATAACATTAATTCTTAAGTGAAAAAATTCTTAACATTAAAGATTTTATCTTATTTAAAAATTTTTATTTTATGATCCATAGTGGCCACTCTTAAACATCTTTGTTTTGGGGAACACGAGGCACAGAATCCCGAAGAAGTTGTGGTACTGGTACCGTCCGCAAAGACGTTTCAATTTCTTTATTGTGTCACAGTAATTAAGATTCCTGCATCCCAGCGACAGAGTATACGGATAATTTAGAAGATGTATTTAATATTTTTTTTTGGGTTTCCGTCCGGACCTGACCTGCGTCGCGAACCTGAAAATGATGAGTGAGTCTCCCAGCGAGGACTGTTGTATTCATAAGGTTTCGAACTCGAGACCTTGTTTAAGCTGAAACAAGCCGCTTACCACTTGATCCAACCCCTCGTTGGTAGATGTATTTAATATTTTAATAATAATTAAGATTTAAACTCAAATTATAGTGTTATTATGTTACAATTCCTCTTTCCACCACAAATTATACTTGTTTAAAAAAAATTCCTGCATGCCATTTTTTTTTTTCCAAGATTCGATGTTCAAACTCATTCAAGGTCATTCCAGCAATGTGCTTGTAATGTCACTGATTTTTTAATACTTTATTTTATTGCAGAGTGGAGTAGGGAAGATGTGGTCAGTGCAGAGAATGGTGGGAACCTTGGCCTTGGGATGGGCTCTTCTCTTTGTTTTGCTACTCTAGACATGTCTCTCCTCCTGTCTCCTGTGTCATTGCTTCTGCCCTTCTCCATTTAATCAATGGTTGACACCATTGCTGCTGGGACTTTGTTTTACTACATGTATTTGAGTTTACATACATTCGGTTGTATTCTTTGAGAGATTTTTGAGGGTAGCCTTTCCCATTTAGAGAGGATCAGATTGTTTTGTATGGGATTTGTTTGGGGCGGCTTTTCCTCATTGTCTCATGATTTCATTTTTCAGTATCATTACTAGCTTCACATTCCACTGATTATTATTTTTTCTTTTGGTTGTTATTTTATCATTCTCTCTGGCTCTTACATTGTCAATTGAGAAAGAATACCCCACACGATAGATGATGTTTGAGCAAAGTGGAGAAACCAACTAACACCCAAAAAGAGTTGCTTTACTTTCATGGCCGGTGTAGAGGACGGAAAGACCATTTAAAGTTTTTGGTAGAGGACACTGATTTCTTAAGCAACTTAAAACTCTTTTATTTGCTTTAGATAGAAAATTTTAGATCCACGTGAGAACTTGAGGAAAGGGATTGATCAATTTTACACTACTCCCTTTATCTCAAATTAGTTGTCACATTTTTCGGTACATTTATTAAAAAAAATTATCAAATTCTTTAAAAACACAATTATTATAGACTAAAATTTTATATTTACTCTCAACAGAACTCAATTAATTTGAAAGTAGAGAATAATTATTAAAGTTTATTATACGAGTCATTATGAAATTGCAATACAAGTAAAGTTGAAAAAATATTCAATGAATAGTTCAAAATGAAAATTAACAGTTAACTTGGGACTCTTGTTTATAAAAGTTGAAAACTAAATTGGGATGAAGAAACAAATCAAATATGAACTTTGATAAATTTTAACATACTTTTTCTATTCTTCTCAAATAGCTAAACCAAATACAACTATAACCTCTTCTTCTTCTTCTTTTTTAAAGATAAAATGTGAATTTTATTTATCCAAAGTAACCAAAAAAAAAAAAAAAAAAAAAACAATAAAGCAACAAGCTGCTATAAAGAATGAATACCAACAAACAATATCAAAATACACAAATATGTGCAACTACCCTGCAAAAATTAGTCTTGCACCATTGTTTCAAGCCCCCATTGACACGCAATGGCCATAGGCAAATGGGAGGATCTTGGCTGAGCAAAACCCAAGATCTTACACTTGACATCAGATTTGATTTCATGTATAATAGCACTATAATTCTTAAAAATTTTCTGGTGAATTCTCTTGTTCCTCTCCATTCAAATATGGTAAACTGCAACATTCCATGCTAACTTGATTAAAACACAGTATAAGGATTTTCTTCTAACCCTTTTCCACATCCAACTTAGCAAGCCACTCCAAGAATCTGTAAAAGGGGTGGCAAGCACGCTATTGAGCTACTGCCATACGCTTCTTGCATAACTGCATTTAAAAAACAGGTGCTCATTTGTCTCAGAATTGTTGTTGCATAGGATGCATGATTTAGGGATAGTAGGAGTCCATTTCCTTTGCCTAGCCCTTGTGCTCAATTTGTTGAGAATAGCTAGCTAACTTATGAAACTATGCTTGGGAATGGCCTAAGAGAACCAGACTATCTTACACCATATTTTCCTGTTGTGCTTGCTTATTAACCAATGCCAAGTTTGCCCAATTCTAAAAGAGCCAAAAGGGGAAGGTAACCATTCTATTGAATCCATCTCTCCTTCCTTTGGGTAGAAGTCAAACAAATGCATTTGAATTTATACTAGTTGGGGAGATCTAGTAGGAGGCCATTGCCAAAAGCCGCCATCTATTACTTTAGCTAGTTTTGCTTGGGAAGGCAGCCTTGCATCTTGAATAATAGAGCTACCATACACTTGTAATAAAAGACCAGAAGGATGTCAGTTGTCATGCCAAATATATATACATATATATATATATATATATTGGCCGTCATCTAGTACATGTTGAATAAGCTTCCTAGCTAGTTGTTTTAGCTTCAAAATTTTCCTCCATCCCCAAGAAGCATCAATAGATATTTTAACAGTCCAGAAACAATTGCCCTTGAGTAGATATTCATGGAACCACAATACCCAAACTAAACCTACTTTAGAGAGCAATAACTAGATAAATTTGAGAATGCAAGTTTGATTCTTAGTGCACCAAGTTTTTTAGTCCTAAGCCACCCTCCTACTTGAGAGTACAAACAATAGCTCATTTTACCTTGGCCCTTTTAGCACTATGAGTTTCATTATTTCACAAGAAGGCACCACAAATTTTCTTTACTTCTTGTATGACTCCTTTAGGCAGTATAAAAATCAAACACCAAAAATTAATTATCCCCTGCATGACAAAAGAAATCAGTTGGAATCTTCCAACAAAAGAGAGGTGTTTTGCTACTCATGAAGTCATTCTTTCAATTATTTTAGACACCAAAGGTCTAAGATCTTTTTGAGTTAATTTACCTATGATCAAGGGCACACCTAAGTATTTGATTGGCAGCTCTCCAATTTTGAACCCAAACCTATCAGTAAGCTGTTGAAGTTGATTTGCAGAAAGACTAAAACAAAAAAGTTTTGACTAAGCATAATTGACTCGTAAACCACATATCTCATAAAATTTCTTTAGGACATTATCAACAACCTTAAGAGAAGAGAGACTATCATCATTGAATATAATTAGGTCATCATCAAAACAAAGATGCGTAATTGTACCTTCTTGCATTTAGGATGGTATGCAATCTTCCCATCCTCAGTTGCCCTATTCAACATTCTAGAAAGAACCTCCATGCAAACCACAAAAATATATGGTGATAAGGGGTTTCCTTGCCTAACACCCTTTTTTTGGGGGAAAAGATCCACATAAGTTGCCATTAAACACAATTGAAAACATTGGAGTAGTTATGCAAGCTTTGATCCAATTTACAAATTAACTACCTCATCTTCCATATCAAAGAGCTTGGTAAGTTTCTTATTATCAAGTGTGTGTAGTTCTCTGATTGTATTTTTCTCTTTTCTAACATTGACCACTTTGTGAAAATGGGTAGTATTATTATCACCTTCTTGTAACCATTTTATTTTAGATTTTTGCTTATAAAATGACTCTTCAGCTAATTCCGAATCTACTACCTTTTGAGCTTGATCATGCTCCAAATGAATTAATTCAGCAGTAGGGCATGTCAAGAGATCACTTTGTAGCAAGTGCAACCTATGCGATTCTTGTTGCACTTTATTTGGAAGGTCAGCATAGCAATCTAAATTTAATTTCCTGAAAGCAAGCTTCAAGGCCTTCAATTTCTTGCATAGCTTGAACATGTAGCAACCTTGCACTTGAGTGGCATCCCAAACTTGTTTTACTGTATCTAAAAATTTTCTCATTTTTTGGAATCATAATAATTTGAAAATTGAAGTTATTAAAAAAACAAAAACAAAAACATTTATCAACCTTGAGTGGCATCCCATTTTTTGGAATTATACTTGTTGGATTGGGTCGGGACGATTTTTAGATGGGCCGAACATTCTATTTCATAGGGGTTTCTTTCGGCTGGGAAGCTGGATCGCTTCCGATTCTGAGACTGTAACATGGGCCACCCGCTTTCCTCATGGGGCTTTGAAAACTCAAAATCGCCAAATTTGATTTATGGATTTCAGTTTTCAAAAGATTGAACTTTAAGCCCAGCTTTTTTTTATTATTCACAAATTTTACACCGTTCACCTAAGATCCGAGGCCCATTAAGGAGATATTAACGGACGAAAAACCTCCATTCAAATTTCCTCTTTTTCTAAAAAAATAATATATTTTTTTAGATAATTTCATATCCAGCTTAAACAATGCCCATATATATGATCATAAAAATGCCAACCACCTTAGGTGATTTAATCGATTAAGAGTTTAAAATTTTAAATTAAAGATTTCATATTCCATTATTGAATTAGGTACAAAGAGATTTAAAAAAAAAAATTATCATCTCTTGTACAATTTATTATTAAATATATTCAAAAAAATGTAATGACATAGTTTCCATGTCAACCATGCCCATGTGAAAATAACCAAAAAAAATTCCATGACCATAAATTTAGTTCCCCACATACTTAAAAAAGAAAAGAAAAGAAAAGAAAACCTCATGATCTCCTTTCTGTCTAATTCGTCTGAAATTGAAGTTGACCCCTCATTCACCCTACTGACATACCATTCAATATGCAAAATCAATTGCGTGCACCTATACACATTTATACATTCAAACACACCCACAAGCACCCGCGCAGTATTTCTTATCCAAGGAGTGTTGTCAGCTTGTTTGGTAATACAATTTGTTTTTTAATTTAGTGCATAAGATTTGATTTTTCAGAGAGTAATGAGGATTTTTAATTTTCTAATATCAATGTAGATAATAAGCATTTAACTAATTTAAAAGAAAGATTAATCTTAAGATATGCAGAATTTATCAAAAGATAGACACTAATTTTTTAAAGAAATTATATGAATATTAAATGAGATTTCATAATCTCTTATTTTTACTGAAATAGATATTTTCGCTCAATCAGCGAGATGATTAGTTTCCAACTTCTAACTTTCTTAATTGGGTTTATTTATCCTGCACCATAAGAGTGCAGGATAATGATGTATTTATCATATTTTTTTATCATTAATGATACATTAATTTACATAAAAAATAAAAAAAAGTTATTATTAATTTTAACATATATGACAGATATTTTTTATTAGATAATTGATAAAATTAATATCAATTTTTAATTTTACTATATATATTAATAATAAAAAGATACAATAAATATATCCTTGTCATTTACTTTAAGAATATAGAGTAGAAAAACCCTTCCTAATTTTCTTTCCAACTTACCTCAAAAATAAATTATTGTACCTATGATTTTGATAATTACAAAATACATTTGAGTGACTAATTGGTTTATTTAAGTGTGTAGTTAAATTGCCAAAAGATTACAAAAGTAAGTAAAATAAGATTGCACTAAAAATGACTAAAAAAGGCTAAAAAATGTGTAGAGAGCCAACTACAGATTTTAGAGCCAGCTCTACAGATGAAAATTTCAAGTTTGTTTAGTGCGTGCGGAAAACAGACACAAAGCCAGCTCTGACTTTGCAGCCGGCTATGATGGCACATTTAATGCACAACGATCGACTTATTTGAAGATTATTTAATGTTTTCAAACCTGAGATCCCAAAGCCAGCTTTATATTTTACAGTCAGCTATTCAGGAAAATAGAATGTGCATGAAATCCACAAAATCGGCTTTACGTTTTGCAGCCAGCT